TCTGATGCAGATATGAGGGCGCGGATAGGAAAAGTAAGAGCAGCATATTTACAACTTAAGAACATCTGAAACTCAAAACAACCGACACCGAGGTCGGGATTTTCAATACAAATGTGAAGACAGTTCTACTGTATGGGGCGGAAACCTGGAGAATTACGATAACTATCATCCAGAAGATACAGGTGTTTATTAACAGTTGTCTACGCAAAATACTTCAGGTCCGCTGGCCGGACACTATAAGCAACAACCTACTGTGGGAGAGAACAAATCAGATCCCAGTGGAGGAAGAAATCAGGAAGAAGCGCTGGAAGTGGATAGGACACACATTGAGGAAAGCACCGAACTGCGTCACAAGACAAGCCCTCATATGGAATCCTCAAGGTCGAAGAAGGAGAGGAAGACCAAAGAATATATTACGCCGGGAAATGGAGATAGACATGAGAAAAATGAACAAGAATTGGATGGAACTAGAAAAGAAGGCCCAGGACAGAGTGGGTTGGAGAATGCTGGTCAGCGGCCTATGCTCCATTGGGAGTAACAGGCGTAAGTAAGTAAGTAAGTTATTAATTTGCTCATAATCGCATGCTAATGTTTACATATTGTCCGCGCCTTTACGATATTCATGTATTCTTTTACATAGCTATGACACTTTTGCATGATACACTCACCCCTAATGTGACACTCTACTTCGTGGTTTGTTGTACTTTTTTTCACTACTTAATGTTAACGTTTGCCACACATCACTTCTGTGTTATTTCCGAAAACACACATTTTTTAATGTGCTATTTTCTACAAGGGGGCTATGTAGTGTCTGTCATTATGTTAAGGCTAAATCCCTTATATTCCAACTTTCGGACAGCCCATTCTATTCATTCTATTTGAGTCAAATTCTGACCTTGTTAATTATTCGCTTACCAATATCTTAACTGTCTTTGTATGAGCGCGTAGGCGTATGTACACCTCTTATCCCGTTACTCATCACATGTCTTTAATTTATTTTTGTGGGCTTATAAATGTTGATTAGCTCTTTGTTAGAGGGAATTGGCTTACCAGCCATCTCCACCGCGTGCCAATTTAGCTTCGCTTTCTCATCTTCGCATCGTTCCTCCGTTCGTTTGTCTAATCAACAATTATACAAAATATATGCATTCAAAACTCCATTCTCGTTATTTGACTTATTTAATTCCGTTATTAACTAAGGCGATTTAAGTCAATGATTGTATACGAGGATAGGCGATAGCAATCATTCATACGATCAAATTGGAGTCAGATCTGGGGCCACTAAATATTATATAAATTGGTAAGCACCATTTGGATATTACTCGACAATATGCATAATAACTTTGTTCATAATTTGGTCAGTGATGGCGGATTTTGTTTACAGAAACTTATTCGTGAACCCTATAACAGGCACATCATAAATCAGTATTAACTACGAGATGGTTTTGTCACCATGCTCAAAAGAAACACACATCGTTTTACTTATGGAGACTTTGTGACTACTGAATGCGGCACTTCCAGTGGTGTTATATACTGTTCCTGTATACGTTCAGAAAGCGGATAGAAATAACTATCAACGTCAATTGTTACTCATATAATTCTTCTCAAATGCGTTACATAATAATATGTCACTTCAGTACAAAACGATGACACTGATATGGGTATAACTGTTTATGGCTAAATATTAACAAGTTATATAATATTCATAAATGGATTAACGCTGAACTGCTTGTACCTACATTTTATAAACAACTACCAACATCCATGTTCATCATCACCATAATCAAGGAGGTGAACCTTATGTTATAGGTTTCAAAGCTTATTTTCCTGAAAACTCAATCTGTGACCTATTTTATGACTTGAAAAATGGTGAATCGTACTTGCTTGAGCTTGTATTGTTACAAATAACCATATTAGGCCTACTAAAGATTCACTTAGCTGGTGAGCAAAAAATACGTCAAACTGCTAATAAATTGGAATAAAAACTATGTAACAAGTGCAAACATTACGAAAATTGGTGTGTGATGGAAAAAAGGCTGCTAATAGCCGATAAATAACGACACAAAAATCCACGACAATATGTTACATGTGCACGAAAACCCATGGCCTAACAGCCTGTGTCTAATTTTACACATCATCAATTTAGTATATTAGTTAGTTCAAATTCAAATTGTTCAAATGGTTGTGGACGGAATAGAAGAAGCTTTCGCTTAACAGGCTTCCGTGTCTAGTAGCAGGGGATCACCAATACCTCCAGGCAAGAACCTTGGTATATTAACGATAAAAGAGAAAAAACAATGAATTGGTAAATCATAGTAGGATACTATCCTTAGTCCTTAAGAATAGATCGAGTCGCCTCTTGAAGGACTCTTGAGAAGTTGCTCGGACTAGCTCAGCTGGCAGCGAATTTCAGCATTTGACAACTCTTAAGGAGTAGAAGTTATGCCTGCAGTCCGTTCTACTATGTTGTATCTCTAATTTCTGGGTGTTACTCCTTAGGTTAGTGTTAGGACTGAGCTTAAGTAGGTGTTTAAGAGGATGTCCAGGAGTGTTAAGGATACTGTAAGCCATTAGAAGGTCACCTCTAAGACGCCTATACTCTAATGGGTAAAGGTCGAGTGATTGGAGGCGCTCATCATAAGGTTTAAATTTGAGTCGTGGCTCGCCGTTGGATGCGCTCCAGAGTGTCCTTATCCTTCTGGAGTGTAGGAGGGAATACTATGTTTCCGTACTCGAAATGGGGACGAATGAAACTATTGAAGATTATGTGGAAAGTTCTCCCGTCAAACTGACCAAAAATGCGCTTCAATGTTACCAGTGCAAGGTTTGCTCGAAAGGCATTTTTGTCACAGTTGGCGCAAGACTTTAAGTTGTAAGGCACCAGAACTCCTAAATCTTTTTCGACTCGGGATACTACTAGAGAGGAGTTTCCTAGGTTGTAACTGTAATCTGCGACGTGTCGCAGATGGACTACTTTACACTTTGAGGTGTTAAAGTTAAGTCCGTTATCGTCTGTCCAACTTTGAAGTCGAGTCAGATCCTTCTGAAGTGCCTGTATATCCTCTTGGTTGCGCATCTCTCTCCAAAGTTTCACGTCATCGGCAAAGAACAATATATCTGACGTCACCTGTTGGGGAAGATCATTTACATAAATCAGGAAGAGAAGAGGTCCTAGTACTGAGCCCTGGAGGACCCCACTGGGACATTACATAGCGAGTGAGAAAATGAAGTTTACCCTGACCTTAAAATGTCGATTTGTCAGATGTGAACTGAGCCAGTCAATTAAGGGTGGTTTGATACCCAATTGTTTGAGCCTGTTGATAAGACATATGTGGTTAACCCTATCAAAAGCTTTAGAGAAATCAAGGTAAATGATGTCCAACTTCCCCTTGCGATCAACGATGCTTGTCCTTCTGTCCACCGCAGTCAGCAGGTTCGTCAAACATGAGTAACCCTTCCTGAAACCATGCTGTTGGGGTGAGAAGAAATTTAAGGACAGCAGATAGTCGTGTATGCCATCGTATACCAGGGACTCCATGATATTTGAAGGTATAGAGAGAAGAGTCACCGGTCGGTAACTTGAAGGTTCGCTGTGAAGATTGGTGTGATATGAGCCAGCTTCCAAATATCCAGTAGTTTGCCTCGACTTAGCGTGTGTGAGAACATCACGCTAAGCGGTGTTGCCAGGATTGAATCTGCTTCCCTCAGTATAGCAGAGTGGGCCATATCTGTACCAGGAGAAGTGTCTGTTCTTATGTGCCGTAGTTTTCGGAGTACCAAGTCAGCGCTCAGTTTCACTACGGAAAGTCCTGTGCAGTTGTAGATAGAGCCGTCATCAGTATAGTTGATGTGGGTCGGTTGAAATGTCCGGGAGTATTGCTCAGCCAGAAGGTTAGCGGCATAGCCGTCATTATCGGTCGGGCCGTTAGGACATAGCAGTTGAGAAACTCCAGTTTTGGCTTGACGAAGAGAGGCTGTGTAACGGAATAAGCTTCTGGGATTGGAAATAAATTTATCCATAAGCTTCATGCATATGTTCCTTATATGTTTGTATTGCATGTGCTCTCTGTTGTTGTCAGTTCGTTTGTATTCTGCCCAACAGTACCTTTTACGGCTTAACAAACGAAGAGTGCGGTTTTTGATGATTGTAGGTTGCATGTAGATTTTGAGGACCATTTGAGGGACTGACTGCTTTGTAGCACATAAGAGCGTGTGTAGTAGGAAGTTCCAGTGAGCACCCAGATCGAGTTGAGGGTGAACATCCCAATCCATCTGTTGTAGATAGTCCTGTAGAGCTGACACATTCAACCGTTTGAAATTCCAGCGCCTGTTGTTGTTGGGATATCTTAGCTCAGTTTTGTTGACAAAACTGAAGGCTTTTCCCAAGGGGAGCCAGAAGTGAGAGGTTGTCTACTAGAAATTCTTCATTTGTAAAAACACAGTCTGAGCGAGACGGTATCTGACTGTTCCTCCAACGAGTAGCCGACTTCACATTTTCGTGTTGTCCCAAATACTCAATGAGGCTGAAGAACCGAGCTTCGATTGAATTTTCACCTCCAATATACGTATGTTCTGCGAAGTTGACTCTAGGGAGATTGAAGTCCCCTAGAATCAGGATATGAGTGAAACCGAGACGCGTAGAGCGGGATAGTCCTTCCAGCATGCGACTGTGATATTCGATGTCAGCAGTGGGCTTCCTATATATGACTCCGACTAGGCACCTCGAAGTAGTGGATAATCTCACAGAGCACCATATAGATTCCTCAAGATTGTCAAACTCATGGTTGTGAACTTGGTGTACCTAAATGATATACAATTCACAAATAACTACCACACTGACTAGAATTAGTCCTGTCAACTAACTAGGCTATCACAATAGAATACTGCCAAATACATGGAACGGTACCGAAATAATAATAAGAAAGCAAAAAGAACTCAATTAATTAACAGAAGCTTGTGGAAAGATATTGGGAATTGGAGTTTGGAGCGCTAGTTGTAACATGTGTGCTACACGGTCTGCTGCTCGTGAATCTGATTCAGATTCGAGGGATTTCAGAATTTTCAGTGTCAAGAGACTTTCATACTTTAAGATACCACCTGAATTTAGAGTAAGCTTGCAAGCAGTATGACATCTTTTAGGAGGGTAGATGTCGTAGTGTTGCTGAATTTGAAAAGCTAAACCGCATCGGTGAAGGGACATATGGTATTGTCTGTAAGTATGAAAATTTAGCTAATAAATTAGACCGTGCTCGTGATACTGTATCAAAAGAGGTGGTGGCTCTGAAGAAAGTTCGAATGGAAAATGTTCGAGATGGCAAGTTCTCCTCACTCTTGAGTTAAGTTCAACAGGTATCCCTATTAGCAGTTTACGCGAAATCACTTTGTTGCTAAGTATAAAGCACCCAAATGTTGTTCACTTGAGAGAAGTCGTCGTTGGGAGGAGCTTGGATAGGTATGTTCTAGTGGTATCGATCATTTTCAGCATCTTCCTTGTTATGGAGTATTGTGAACAGGATATGGCAAGTTTACTTGATAACATGCCTAATCCTTTCACCGAGTCTCAAGTAACATGTGGTTAAATTCCTAATTTGCACTGTAGGTTAAATGTATCATGCTTCAGATTTTTAAAGGTCTGAGATACCTTCATGAAAACTTTATCATTCACAGGGACTTGAAAGTCTCCAACCTGTTAATGAATGACAAGGGTCTTGTCAAAATAGCGGACTTTGGACTGTCACGCCCTACTCATTCCCATAATCCCATGACTCCTTGCGTTGTTACATTATGGTGAGTAGGTTCACTCCAAATTTTTCATGTATTTTTATCAATAAGACTTTTTTTGTTCTTATACTAAGATCCAGCTGTAGAACAGTTGTTTTCATCAAGTGTACGTAATTGTTACGGAAATGACTGATAATCTCAAAGACAAATGACTGGGATAGCTTTATATCATTAACAATCTGGCCTAAATTGGTTATCAGTAGACAGGAAATCTCTTGGTTTGAGACTAATGTGAGAATATCCTCCAAGTATTTCAGTCCCAGTTGACACACAACTAAAACACGTCATACCTTAATGATCACATAATGCTCTCACAGTTTTTTCCTACAATCAGGATTATGGTTAAATTAATTAAAACTCAATAATTGCAGGGATCGATATACTTCCATCGTGGTTTTTTATTTGTGTCTTCCGGCCACGATCAGTCCCAATCGATACAATCAAACTAAACGACATTACTCATTATTTCAGTCTTCAGTAATAACGATAATAGATAGCCTTACCTGTGTTCATCCCTCCAACTTGTTTTCAGGTGAAAACTCAGCTTCTCCGTAAAAGTGTTCACTGTTCGGGCCGATATCACTTGTCCGAGTGGGACATTTCAGTCATTGACTGCTCGATAAGAATAGGGTCCAACTCTGAGTTTATTCAGGTGAGGTTTGCGAAAGTTTGCAATTTCCCAGATGATTAGTCCTGTCGGAAGCAAAAAGCTAAGACATGCTAACACCGAAATCATTATTTAAGGTACGGAGTGTCAATATGTGGTTGCATCGAGCTCTACGATAAGATAAGAGGAAAAGGTCTAAACGTCTTAAACGCTCATCTCAGGGGAGTTTAGAAAGATTAGTCACTAACTTAATTTTCACACGTTAAATGATCGATTGTGATAGGATCCCTGATAAGAGTAGGACTTACTACTTGGCTGCGATTCTCTAAGTGAGGCCTCATAGTTTAAATATAAAACCCGAAATATGTCTTCATCAAGGCATCAGAATACTCGATGAAATGACCATAACATCCAAAGTCTTTTGCAGCAATTGCATCGCAGTGTGTATTTGTTCTCGATTCACAACTTACTACTAATATTTTTTCTGCATTCATGAAAGCGATCTGCCGTTTATAATATACTGGTAATCGATGCCATGTCTATTGTACACTAGCAGTTTTCTGAAATTACTTTCCAAACCTGGGCTTTGGGACTATAAAACCAATCCGTCTAGATCAGTTTGGAAATCAAAATAACCAGTTTGACTATTTATTTTCCCCCGGATTTTAACATCATCTGCAAATAAATGTCGATGACTTACGCAGTCTTGGTGATTCGATGTAGAGTAGAAAAATAAGGGAGCTAAGATTGTCCTATGTGACACTCTTGTGTTGCTCAGCCGTTGACAAATTGTATGATTCTACGTGATTTGGTAACTTAACACGAATTATTTTCCTAAATATCTTAACTACTGTGTAATGTAAGAAAACAATTATTTTAGGCAAATACGGCCACCGTGTGCCGATTGTCTTTCTTAAGTAGCGAGACATTTAGCAATAATTATTTGACGTATATTCCGGCATTAACGCTTAAATGCCTCATGATCCGTCGGTGTGAACAAGTCCCGGAAATTGTTTTTTACACCACAGCAGCTTCCAGATTTCCCTATTGATCCATCGAGGGAAATGTGGTTGTTTTTGCGTTGACCATGGGATGTACGGTGTTTGTACAGCCTCGAATATGGCTTTAACATCCATTCGCTTTCATTCAACTTATCTGCATTGACTGGTCAATTTGTTGAAACCACACACTCTCCGATTGCCTGAATGTTCGCTAGCCAGATATTGGGATGAAGTACAGTATATTCATACTGTACATTGTATCCGAAACTTAAATTACAATACAAGGTGATCGCTGTTTTCCGGTAGGGTTAGGTACTGAACGTCGGTAACATCATCGGTGTGATATAAAGAAAAATTCCAACTGTGATTATTCATATTCAAAGCCAATATATGTCCAAATATCCACCTAAAGCTATAAGCTCTATCCAAATAATGTGTAGCGCGTTGAAATTCCCAACGATAAGATAGCAACTAACCTTACTCAACGTCCATATAGGAGTCAGGGAAAAGTCAGTATGTTTAGCTCGGACGATTTGCTTCTAGGACTACGAGCGTTTGTGTAGAACACACCTAAGTTGTTTGGAGAATCACGTCTGTCTAGGTCTAGGTAGCATTGTCTTTTAAGACAACTACCCGAAAATCTAAATTTCAAGGTTTGTTTTACCGTTTTCCTTTCGAGTTTTTAACCCAGTAAGAGCAATCCTCAAGTGACCAATCTGACCAAATACGAATATTCGAGTTATGGATTTTGTATGAGTTATTTGATATCACTTCCCTTTCCTTGTTATTTCCGAGTATTGACTTTAACGTCCTCTTTTGGTTAGTCCAACCTACTTAACGAGTCTTTTCACCATAGTTATTTGTGCTCCCAAAACCTCTTCTGGCAGTACATTTTTGATAGCAGATTCCACCAACTACAGAATATGCGCATATCGTCTAACAGACTCATTGTTTTTTGACTCCAGATTCCAAATGATTAAGCTCGAGACGGACTTGACTCCTTTGAAAGTCATGTTCACGGCTTTCATTCGTGTTCTCACCGTTCTCTTCTAACTAATTATTGGAAGCTTTTCTTTAATTTTCCTTTTTATTTGGCTTTTGGAGTAGTCTTTTCATCTGTAACATCCGATTTGCCTTGGAAGAGATTTTTGCTCCCTACGAATCTTATGTTTGCACTTACCTTATCAGCAGTGTTTGTGGTAAGCGCACTGTCGATAAGTGGTAGTTCTTTTTTACTGACAGTGCGAGGCTTTTTGAGATTGTGCGTGACCGTAGTTTGGACAGGGGTTTTATCTCCTTCCGGCCTGTCGAAAACAGTAGTCTCAGCCTTTACATCAGGAATAAGAGGTTAGCCGACAACGCTAACATTACATTCCTTGTCTTCCGATGTCAAACTTAGTAAGCAAGCATCGTCACTTGGCGTCTTCATCAGAGTGAGAAGCTCCAAGACTTCATCTAGGAGAATCGCTTTAGTTAAGCAACGTTCTCTACATAACCAAGATAAAGCCAGTTTGCTGAAACGTTTATATGCGGCCGGTAATAGATTGGTATACATTTTATGAATCATTTCTTACTGCTGTCACAATCCATGCCATCTTCAACAGAGTAAAAATACAATGGTCGACCACATCGATGATTCTGAATGATCATTTTAATCAGTATGATGTAGAGAGAACAAGAAAAGGTTCAATAAGTGCTGGTCACAAAGTATGGGAAAGCGACAACGTTACTAATGTAGCTATAAAGGTGTACAGAAACGGTGACTAACTAGTGGCAGTTGAAGCACCAAAACGTCAAAAACCTTAATAAACGCAACTCGAGAAAAAAAACGGGAGAACGGTCGATACGAATACACAGATACGAAAATCAAAAAGAAATAATTCAACTAGTGTAAAATAAGATGGAAATCTTATGAAAAAGTACTTTACGAACCCAAACATCTCTGGAAGCCTTAAATATAAGTTTAAATCTAACTTCTGGTACGATAAGCATAACAGAAATCTAACCACTTCGTTTTTTCAAATCGCGCGCAAGATTACCTATTGTTGTACAACAAACTGGTGTAGAAACATTTTGGCACTTTGCCGCTCCCTTGTAATATATTTCCAAATCAGTTTTTAGGCTCACTGATTAGATTATGGAAATCATTTACAGGTTTATATTCCTTTGGCACTACGAACTCCTATTTCATAACTACATAATTAGTTTTTTAGAATGAATATTCTCTCCATTTCTTATCTGGCTAATATGCAGGTAAGAGTTTCAGCTTCATGACGTTTGTATTCGACCTTAGTATCATATTCTGACACCACTTCACACCGATGTAAACATTAAGTAGTATCGCCTCGTCTCCGGTCAGTCAGTCGTAAAATACTCATAACTGAACACATATGTCGATCCAAGTCCTTATCGGAAAAAGTTAACCAGATGAATATAAGCGAGAAATTGCTATCAAGGGCAGTAAAAAATAAACTCGAAATACACTTTGCAAAGATCTATTTAAACCGAAATATAACAATCTAAAACTCCGCCTGTAGCTCTTCCAGAGTTACTGCCGGTCCCAAGCCCGGGTAAAGGAGGGGGGTTGGGCATGGGGTTAGCGTCCCCATCCCGTAGAAACCTAACTCGCTAAAAAAACGCTAACCAGAAAAAATAACTCAAACCATTTAAACTCTGCCTTGGGAGTTAGAGGTAATATGACGCTTCATGGTGAAAGCCGAGTTCCTTCGGAAGCCACGAGGCCGATGCCCCTTCTAACAACCAGAGCAACAATTTTTATAGGTACATGGAACGTCCGGACAATGTGGGAGAACGGGAAGACCAGTGAAATAGCAACGGAAATGAGAAGATACAACTTGGCAGTACTGGGAATCAGTGAAACCCATTGGACCCAAGCTGGACAACAAAGGCTAAATACGGGAGAGATGCTGCTATACTCCGGTCACGAAGAGGAAAATGCTCCACACACTCAGGGAGTTGCTCTAATGCTATCCAAAGTAGCACGAAATGCACTTGTAGAATGGGAATCTCACGGATCCAGAATCATCAAAACATCATTCAAAACAAAGAAGGAGGGGATCACAATGAACATTATCCAATGTTATGCACCCACCAATGATAGCAACGACGACGTTAAAGATCAATTCTATGAGAGGCTGCAATCAATCATAGAGAAGTGCCCAAGAAAGGACCTCACCATTCTGATGGGAGATCTAAACGCCAAAGTCGGAATGGACAACACCGGATATGAAGACATCATGGGACTACATGGACTGGAAGAGAGAAACGAAAACGTGGAAAGATTTGCAAATCTGTGTGCATTCAATAAATTGGTCATAGGCGGTACAACATTTCCACACAAACGTATACACAAAGCTACTTGGATCTCACCGGACCACACCACAGAGAACCAGATAGATCACATTTGCATCAATAAAAAGTTCCGAAGGACAATGGAAGATGTGAAAACCAGGAGAGGAGCGGACATAGCTTCAGATCATCACCTCGTTGTGGCCAAACTGAAACTGAAGCTAAAGAAGAACTGGACAAACAGCACCACAAAGGTTCAATACAGCCTTCCTTCGAGATACTGACAAACTCAATGAATTCAAGGTAGCTCTCAACAACAGGTTCCAAGCCTTACAGGATCTACTGAAGGAAGAAGAAACTACTATGGAGGATAGCTGGAAAGGTATCAAAGAAACATTAACTTCAACGTGTCAAGAGGTTCTGGGCCCCAAGAAGCATCATCACAAGGAATGGATCTCTATAGAAACACTGGACAGGATCAAAGAAAGAAAGAATAAGAAGACAGCAATTAACAACAGTCGAACAAGAGCAGAGAAAGTCCAAGCACAAGCAGAGTACATAGAAGCAAACAAGAAAGTGAAGAAGAGCATTAGAGCTGATAAGCAAAAATACGTGGAAGAACTAGCAACGACGGCGGAAAAAGCTGCAAGAGAAAGAAATATGAGACAGCTTTACGATACGACGAAGAAGCTTGCAGGGAAATACAGTAAACCAGAGAGACCAGTCAAAGACAAAGAAGGAAGACCAATCACTGAGATTCAACAACAGCGCAACAGATGGGCAGAGTACTTCGAGGAACTCCTGAACAGGCCGGCTCCAATGAATCCACCGGACATCGAGGCAGCACACACAGATCTTCCTATAGATGTCAATCCACCAACGACAGAAGAAATCAGAATGGCCGTCAGACAAATCAAGAGCGGGAAAGCAGCAGGACCCGACAATATACCAGCTGAAGCACTGAAGTTAGACATCGAAGTAACTGCAAGCATGCTTCATCTTCTATTCAAGAAGATTTGGGAGGAGGAACAAGTGCCGATGGACTGAAAGAAGGACACCTCATCAAGATTCCAAAGAAAGGAGATCTGAGCAAGTGTGAAAACTACAGAGGCATTACACTACTGTCAATACCGGGTAAAGTCTTCAACAGAGTGTTACTGAACAGGATGAAAGACGCAGTTGACGCTCAACTTCGAGATCAACAAACTGGATTCCGTAAGGACCGGTCGTGCACAGACCAGATTGCGACACTACGGATCATCGTCGAACAATCAATTGAGTGGAACTCGTCACTCTACATCAACTTCATTGATTATGAGAAGGCATTTGACAGTGTAGATAGGAGGACGTTATGGAAACTTCTTCGACACTACGGAGTTCCTGAGAAGATTGTCAACATTATCCGGAACTACAGTGCAAAGTAGTGCATGGAGGACAGCTGACAGACGCATTCCAAGTAAGGACCGGAGTAAGACAAGGCTGTCTACTCTCTCCCTTCCTGTTTCTTCTGGTGGTCGACTGGATTATGAAGACCTCGACATCTGAGAGAAACTACGGCATACGATGGACAGCTCAGAACCAACTAGACAATTTAGACTTCGCAGATGACCTAGCCCTCCTATCACATACACACGAACAAATGCAGATAAAGACAGCCAGCATAGCAGCAGTCTCTGCATCAGTAGGCCTCAACATACACAAAGGGAAAACCAAGGTCCTCAAACACAACACGGAGAACAGCAATCCAATCACTCTTGATGGCGAAACTCTGGAAGACGTGGAATCCTTCACATACCTGGGAAGCATCGTCGATAAACAAGGAGGTTCAGATGCAGAAGTCAAGGCGAGGATTGGCAAAGCTAGAGCGGCATTCCTTCAACTGAAGAACATATGGAACTCAAATCAACTTTCAACCAATATCAAAGTCACCATCTTCAATACGAACGTCAACACAGTCTTACTGTACGGAGCTGAAACTTGGAGAACTACAACAACAACAATCAAGAAGGTAAAAGTATTTATCAATAGCTGTCTACGCAAGATACTCTACATCCACTGGCCGGATACCATCAGCAACAGCCTTTTGTGGGAGAGAACCAATCAGCTTCCAGCTGAAGAGGAAATTAGGAAAAGACGATGGAAATGGATAGGACATACATTGAGGAAATCATCAAACTGCATTACGAGACAAGCGCTAACTTGGAATCCTGAAGGGAAGCGGAAAAGAGGAAGGCCAAAGAACACATTGTGTTGGGAAATAGAAGCCGATATAAAAAGGATGGATAACGACTGGAAAATGCTGGAAAGGATTGCCCAGGACAGGGTTGGATGGAGAATGCTGGTGAGCGGCCTATGCTCCTTCACGAGGAGTAACAGGCGTAAGTAAGTAAGTAATAACAATCTAAAATGACATTAAGCTTAAGATTCACGGTAAGATTAAAAGTAACTGCATCTATTTCTTTGCGACTGATATCGAGTGATCTTTCCAACAGCTTCCATCCAGCGATAACAGTTGCCTCACAAACTACGATCAGGAAGTCTGCATATTTTGACATAGGTCAAACAGTTACTGACTCCATGTAATGATACTGGAACCTTCCCTCCCAAACTTTATTTATGCGAAACTAAAATGTTATGATCTCATTAACTCTAACGAAATCTTTGCTACATCATGATACATATATTCATCCTTCATCACCCTCTTATGTATAAGTATGTCAATATCTGTAATAACGTCCAATTTCAAATATTTTAGGTTGTTAGCAGCTAGTGAGAACCTAACGGAATAGAATGAATTCATATTATTCTGCACCAGTCTTTGTTCTTGCTCTCTTTAAAATAATAAAGGGAACTATGTGTATGAAATAATGATACTCTGTTGATTTAGATACCCCTAAGTCTTTCCAAACTGCTTATACTCTAGCCAGAATAACACAACGGAAATGATCAGAGTTTGCGAATGCGTTGCACATCTTAGCCAATATAGTCAATATGAGCTCGTAGTATCTAATCTACCTAGTGTCTTGATGGTTTCCTTGCACAGAATCTGAATATTTTTAAGTCCATGTGTTTGCTCGCTTGTTTCCACGAATATGGTATTCTGTGGATTGAATTTATACATGATTATTGAATTCACAATTGCCTTTAATTTTTTACTCGTAGGTACCGAGCACCGGAAATTTTACTTGGCGATAAGAACCAAACTAAAGCTGTTGATATATGGTTAGTTCAAGTAACTTTTTGTCATCCCAGTTTTGAAATATCAGGTCAGCTGGCTGTATTATGGGTGAGCTTTTATTACACAAACCACTTCTTCCTGGGAAGACAGAGGTTCACCAACTGGAGTTAATTATTGATTTACTGGGCACTCCAAACGATCAAATTTGGCCGGTATGTTCAAGTTATACACTTACTTGTCTTTGCTCCAGAATCTTTCCAAATTACCAGCATTAGAAAAGATAAATCTGAAAAAGCAACCGTAAGTTTGCATTATCGATCATTTGTTATCTTAAGTATTCAGAATTTCTTGTTACGTTTTATTTGTCTTTCTTCATTTTGTGTAAGCTTCCTGGTCGTGGCACCATTGCCTCTATAAATTCCACTAATCATAATCTAATTTTAAGGTGATTTGATGATAATTGATAGGCTTAAATATTCATTGAATAATCTAATTTATTTATCATCATATTCTTATAAGTTTCCATTTTGGTAAACAACTTGGATTGAGCTACAATACTTGATTTATGGTCCCAGTGATGTTTACTCTGTATCTCTAATGTCCTCATTCTTAATTATTAGAGTAGAAAATTACAGAACTAAAATAGATATTTCGGCCAGGATTTTTTCTACGATAAGATACCAAAGAAAGGAGATCTGAGAAAATCTGAGAACTACAGAGGCACTAATCTACTATCGGTGCCAGAAAACGTTTCAAGCATAGTGCTGCTGAACCGAATGAAGGATTAGGTGGATGGCCAACTTTGAGATCAACAGGCCGGATTCCGTAGGAATCTGTTGTGTATCGACCAAGTCATGACACTACGAATCACCGTTGAACAACCAATTGAGTGGAACTCGTCAGTATATATCAACTTCCTCGACTTTGAGAAGGCGTCTAACAGTGTTGGCAGGAGAACCTTATGGAACCTTCTTCAACATTTTGGTGTGAGTAGTTGAGAAGATCAACAACATACAGAATTCGTAAGACGGACTAGACTGCAAAGTCGTGTATGGAGGGCAACTGACAGACGCATTCCCTTTCTCTTTCTTCTGGTGGTTGACTGGATTATGAAGACCTCGACATCTGAGGGGAAGCGCAGAATACAATGGACAGCTTGGATGCTACTAGACGATTTGAACTTCTCATATGACTTAGCCCTTCTATCCCATACACGCGAACAAATGCAGGTCAAAACAATCAGTGTTTCAGCAACAGCAGTCTCTGCATCATTAGGCCTCAACACATACTAGAGAAAAAACGAGATCCTCGATTACATTACGGAGACTCAGACCGAATACATGTTTTATTAAGAACCAGGGAGAATGTATACATGCAAATCCCAATCAAATTATCATTCTGGGTTTATGTTATGGCGTATACACTCACAAAGTTGTTTATCATATTTTTCGTCTCATTGATTTCCTTTTATTGTTGGGTAGTATGTTAACTTAGATCGATAGGTGTTGGTCATAGGTTTTCCTGTTGTTTATCTGTTTGTCCGCTCCCAAGTCTTTTAATAGATCAGTGGTCTCGTCATTTGGTGCTGCATTTCACTAGTATTGATTGTCGTTTATTATTAATTCATTCGTAAGCTGTAATAATATTCACATTATATTTTTGACATTTCACATCAGGTGTGCTTCACAACCTAAACACGAGACTACACAGTATTTAGGTAGAATAAAATCAATGAAAATCTTATTTTACTTCATCCTTCTGTTATCAATCTATAGCTCACTTAACTTATTATTCTTTTGATGTGTATGCAAATTATTTTTAAAGTTCTATTTACGTAATTTCATTCGTGTTTTCCAGGTACAATAATTTGCGTCATACTTTCCCATGGTTATCAGATGCTGGTTTGCGTTTACTGAACTTTCTGTTCATGTATGATCCATCTAAACGCGCTCGGGCTCGTGAGTGCTGTCAGAGTTCTTATTTCCGTGAACATCCTTTACGTGAGTGATTGAATAAAGCTATTATTATTATTATTATTATTATTATTATTATTATTATTATTATTATTTCATGCAATTTCATTACCGATATTTTCTTTAATTTAATTCGCTTCTCATTAAACCTAATGTTGAGATGCGAAATCGTGGTATGTTATTTTTATACACATTGGAAGTTAACGAAAATTATATAAATGATTTGCAACAAGTTGAGGTTAATAAATATATTCATGTGTTAACAAATAACAAGACTTAGATCAAATCTTACCCCACCAATCTGTGCGTAATTAGTAAATTGCGATACTACATATAAAACCAGCCGTCTTGAACATATATTTGAAAATTGTGTCTTACTGCCTAGTTCTGACAAAACAACGAGTTTTAATAAACCATTTACACCTGTATAGTTATTAACTGGTGCCACTGGAACAGTCTGGGAATGACTTTTGTACATTAAGTTTGCATAAAAACATAACTTAAAACTCATTAAGTTTTTTGAAACCATTTTATTCGATACTGGTTTAAAGCACACTTTACAATCTTTATTTCATTTCTAATTTCAATTATCAACATGTTTAGTTGGTAAATAGTATTTATTTAATTAAAGCGATACGGTAAGCTTTAAAAAGAAATAACATGTTCTTAATTTCCCTTATTTATCGATAACAGCATGCGAACCTGATATGATGCCATCTTTCCCTCAACATCGATTGAAGCGTAAGAATTCTCCTGGTGAATATGATAATAAAAGTGCTAATCCAGCTCAAGATCAAGCTGCTGGATTATTTGATGCTGCCTTCGATAGAATCGTAAGTCTTTTTCTAAAGAATCTTCAATAAGAACTACCTACTTGACTTTTATTGGTCAATTTGCAGAAAACTTTGAATTCCTTCATTAATCTTTTGAATAGTTGTTAATAATTTGTAGGCGTCGTGATTTTTAGTCGGTAATATCATGTTTTCTAGAATTGTTTAGACGGAAAATCATTGATTTCCAGTCTCACTTTAATCTGCTTATTAAATAGCTTCAGTCGACGTTTAAAAAATAAAATCTAAATAATTGTTGTTACTTTAGTTTTTTGTAAGTGAATTTGTAGCATTGATTGGACTAAATGTATAAGTGGTAAATAGTTTTATTAAACAGTCGTGTTTCTGTATTCGAAAATCGGAAAAGTTCTATTCCCCGCCACTTTACAGAAGTTACTGAAGATAATCCCTATATCTATTGTTGTGACTTTATGTCCGGCTTTTTATCACGTGATTTATCCGCCAATCAAAATACGACTTAGACAATTTTAGCACTGTGCCGAACCAATGACGTTCGACCGGTGTGAGCAGCCTAGCGTCCTTATTAGTCCTATGTTCGCCTAGCCCGTTCACTTGAGTCCAGAACACCAATACCAGCTTCCACTATGCGAATCGAATCATTTATTTCAGACATACTGGGGTTATGTATCAACCAAACAGACCGCAACGCACCATAAAATAAGAAATAACATTTGTACACAATAAAGCCAAAATGTGGCTGTGAACGTGGGAGGCAGTAGTCAATAACATCTATCATTTGTTTTCTCATTCAATAAATAATACTCAACAGAAACTCATTTATTCATTGTATCAAACGAAGCTCAATTATAACTATCTATTTATACACTTTAAAGCTGTGAATTAACAGTTTAGGTTCTCAATTTTCAATCAGTGAATCTTGAATCCAGAGCTTATTGATCGTACCGCTATTTATGTGGCTAACTATCAATAACATCAACACTTAGGGTTTCTCATAAACTAGGAAGTTGACTGTGGTTGCTTTGATGCATAATTGTTTGATACGAATGTATATGTGTACCGTCGGTTGTTTAAAATATTACCTCTTACAGATCCTTTCTGTTTCATTACTTCTCGTGACACTCCTTATAACTTTAAGCCATGAAAAAGTAGTTATAGGGAGTTCTATGTAAGTAGGCAACAGTGATTAAAAAACTGCACTCCCATAAATGTTCATCGTTCTGTACCATATTTACTCTAAATAATATCAAAATTTCCCATGTGACTATTTTAAAATTCTATTTTACTTTTCTATTAAGCGTAATTCACAAATTATAAATTTTGTATGTTAATCAAAGCTGTATGCATTTTGTTGTTTTGCTTCTAGGTGAAGAAACGTCGAGCTTAAACAGAAGCAACACTATAAATTTTAAGAAATTTATTTATATAATACATTTGTGCATTTCTAATATCTTGGTGTTTTTAATTTATTCTCTATAGTCATTCATAACTGTCAATTTTCACGTACATAAAAATCATAACTTCTTACTGTAGTAATATTAACTGTAATAATGTATTTAGACAAATTTTCAAATCTTTACCTCTCTATTTTATATTGACGGCCTGTTTGTTTAAAATAAAGGTTCTTTTCTCGGCGTTATCTGAACCTAAATATCAATTTAAAAGCGGAAAAACATCATGAGCGCAAGCATCACGCTAGAGTAAAGTTATTAGATTCCCAATCAGTAATCTGATTCCATATAATGAATTTCAACAAATAGTTTCCTGTTTTCCTAGTGGTTCTCTTTTAATGAGGGTCTCATCTTTTTTTTAAAAAAAATATGTTCGTCTGCTGTGGTTATCTTTGTATGATTGATACATAGACTATTTTACCGTTTCCGTTGGTTTCAATATTGCTTTCTAGAAATTCCCTATGGAATTCTCTTTACCCGACCGTAGCTGCTACCTTGATGTGGTGATCGGGCTTGCCTATCGTGATGACCCAACCGAGCTATATTGGCTGGAACACATGTTCCTGCAGGTTCTACCATGCCAGGCAGGTCGATTGGAGAACGACAAGACTAAAAGCAGCAACTCAAGGTCTGAGGGCGAAGTCGTACTGCTGACTGTACAGAGGTGTGACAGCAGTAAGGTGTTTCCCTCGGACAATCAGCATCTGCAGCGATGCTGCCTTCTCACAAGGAAGGAAGGGGTTAGGAAAGGTTGACCCTAAAAATGTCACACCTCACCTTACCCCACGGATTTCCGTCTCCGGCGGTAAGGCCCTCTGAAGAACGGAGCTAACACACTAAAAACCTCCCACAAAAAGGCCGTGCGTGACCGGTCTCAAGCAGTTGCCTCTTGGGCTCTGCGGTCACGCTCCCAGGTCGCTAAGACCAACACTAATCCGATTTCCTTTCCAGGTCCCTCAAGAAATACCCTTCCACGGTGTGGGCAACAGAGAAGTAATATCAGCCCTCATACCCGTAACAACACACAAAACCAAGTTGGTCACATTCAAATCCTTCCTACACCTAATAACTCTCTTATCTCCACGACTAACCCTTCTCACGTCCATTTATCACCATCCCGCTAGTGCAAACGATTCGAGTAGGCGGAATGTTATCCCTGGTCTTCTGAAACTACGCTCCAAACTACACGTAGTTACTTTCAACGTCCGAACACTGTGCCAAATAGGACAACAGGCTTCCTCAGCTAAGACTTTATAATCTCGCTCCATCGATGTTTGCTGCGTCTCCGAAACGCGCATACAGAATCCGAGTAATGTCATTCATTTGACTGCACCATGTCAAAGTAACAAAGCAACTCGATTTACGCTTCGTGTGTCTGGAAGCCCTGATGCTGCTTCCCGTGGCCTCGCTGGCGTAGGTATAGGATTGAGTCCTAGGGCAGAACTATCTCTCTTAGACTGGATCCCAGTAAACTGTCGTTTGTGCGCTGTCCGACAAAACGGAGCAGTAAGGACTCGGCGACCTCCTAATTCGTCCCAACGTTGGACCCAAATAGATCACATCGCTATCAGCCACCGATGGAGGGGCTCGATAGAAGACTGTCGCTCATTCTGGAGCACATGCTTAGACTCAGATCATGCTTTAGTGAGAGCGCGTATTTGTCTTCGTCTTACTGGACGTAGGAAACATGCTGCAAGGAAACCCCTTAGGGTCCTACTTAATGATAGTCAAGCTAAGAGTATATTTCAGGAACATCTAGAAAAACAGTTAGACAGCCATGTAAGTGACGCCCACCCCGAGGCAGCGTGGAATGACATCCGAAAAGCTGTAGAAACAGCAGTGATGTCTGCAAGTACGGTAAACCATAAGGTTAGAGAGAAACACTGGATCTCAGCAGCATCTACCGCACTGATATATGCTCGAAAACTCATTCCATCTGACTCTGAACATAACGAAGAGCGGAGTCAGCTTAAGCGTAAGCTGACTAGAAGCTTACGCAATGATCGTGAACAGTGGTGTGTAGCGAAAGCAAGGGAGATGGAAAAGGCAGCGGCAATAGGTAACAGAAGGCAACTGTTCAGACTTGTTAAGGAAACCGGTATTAGGAACCCAACTGTTAGCGAAACAATCGCAGAGAAAGATGGACATATTATTCATTCTCAATCCAGGAGATTGGATCGATGGGGAGAACACTTTAGGGATCAGTTCGACTGGCTGTGAAGAACAGACTAGAGAAATCCAGACTGGTTTTTGACCTGAACGTGGTTGTATAGACCAGATATTCACACTACGTCAGGTCCTAGAACATAGACACACATTCAGACGCCCCATAATGGTAGTATTTCTCGACCTTAAGGCGGCATTTGACTCTGTTGATCGTGAGGTTCTATGGCAGTGTTTGTCACTGAAGGGAGTACCAAAGAAGTACATCAACCTTATAAAGGCTCTCTACTCGAACACAACTGGTCGAGTGAGAGCTTATGGTGAACTGTCATCAGAATTGATTACCTCAAGTGGTGTTCGTCAGGGCTGTCCACTCTCTTCATTCTTGTTTAATTTTGTCGTTGACGTGTTTTTAGAGATGACACTTTCCTCATCAATATTTCCGGTGGTTGAATTTCTACTGGGAGATCCACTTGTTGACTTAGAACTTACCGATATCGTCATTTACTAGTATTTGATCATATGTATCTTCGAAACATTGCTCGTATATCCTGGGACCACCGAGTAAGTAATGCAGTTGTTAGGAAACGGGTACTAGGCAAGGATGGCAAATCAATTGATGAAATAGTGAAACTTAATCAGTTGAGATGGCTGGGACATGTGTTGCGCATGCCCGACCACCGACTGCCACGACGTGCGATGTTTTAGAGTGTAGGAGTAGGTTGGGAGAAAGGTAGGGGCGGCCAGACCAAAACATGGCACAAATCCATGAAGTCACTGACAAGTGGACTGAGTCATGTTGGTAGGTGTAGACTACCTGGTTGGGGACCGCGAGACGATAGCAACCGATGGTTAGAGACCTTGAATGACATGGCTCAAAATCGTTTGCAATGGCGCAGGTGCATCCACTCTTTGTGTTCTCCCAAATCCTAATCTTCTGAATTCTTCATGTCCCTTTCTTTTTTTCTCTTTCCAAATTTATTTCACTGGATTATGCTCCTTGAATAACATCTTCGAACCCTAATTTTTCAGATTACTACATATACTCTTACTGCCTCTAGCACTACGGGATTTGAATCAACAACTGCAACTCTGTGTTAATGTGGTGTGGCAACTCGAACTGATGTATGTACGTAAGAAGTTCTACGTTGTTACTGACTGACTGATTATGACCGATGAAATATTATTATAAGATTTACCATTCTTGAGTTATGCCCAGTCAATCAATTATTATCACCCACGTTCTTAACAACACTTGGTTAATTCTTGTACAAATGTTATTTTCTGTTTTATGGTTCGATGTGATCTGTTTGGTTTGTATATAAACCCAGTATGTTTGAAATAAATTATTCATATCGCAGAAGCTGAGATTGGTGTTCTGGACTTAACAGGCCGGGGCAAGTCGGAAACAGGACCAACAAAGATTCTAGACTGCTCGTACGTGTTTTATGAGTCATTGGTCCGGTTGATAAATCACTTTTTTCTAATGGGCGGTATCATTACGTTATATATTAACAGGACACAGGGCACGAGTTATAACACCGGTCAACCACCAGAAGAAAGAAAAAGGGAGAGAGTAAGCAGCCCTGTTTGTCATCTGTCCTCATTTGGAATGCGTCTGTCAGCTGTCCTCCATACACGACTTTGTAGTCTAGTCGGCCATCCACCTAATCCTTCATTCGGTTCAGCAGCACTATGCTTGAAACGTTTTCTGGCACCGATAGTAGATTAGTGCCTCTGTAGTTTTCCGATTTTCTCAGATTATTCTTTGATATCTTGATTAGGTGTTCTTCTTTCCAGTCAGTCGGCATTTTGTCTTCCTCTAAAATATTCATGAATAGAACGTGGAACATGACTGCAGTTACTTCTATGCTCGACCATCGTCCAGCTGGTATATTGTCAGGTCCTGCTACTTAACCACTCTGGTTTTGTCTTATGTTCATCCTGATTTTTTCGACCGTTGGTGGAGTGACATCTGTCGGAAGGTTTGTAAGTACTGCTTCAATGTCCGGTGGATTGAATGGAGCTGGCCTACTCACAGTATTCTACCCATCTGTTCTTGAATCTTGGTGACTGGCCTGCCTTCTTTATTCTCGACTGATCTCTCTAGTCTACTATACTTCCCTACTAGTTTCTTCGTTATGTCATTTATTTGTTAAGTTCTTTCCTGAGTGCTTTGCTAAGATCGATTGCAGCCTCTCGTAAAACTGATCTTTATCGCCTTCATTGCTAGGTGTATAACATTGGATAATATACATTGTAATCCCCTCCTGATTTGTTTTGAATGATGCTTTGATGATTCCAAATCCATGAAATCCCCATCCTATAAGTGCATTTCATGCTTCTTTGGACAGCAACAGAGCATCTGTCTCCGGGTGTGTGGTGCATTTTTCTTTTTGTGACCGGAGTACAGCAGTATCTCTCCTGTATCTAATCTTAGCTGTCTAGTCTGGGTTTCGCAGATCCCGAGAACCGCCAAGTTGTATCTCCTCATTTTTGTTGGTCCTCTTGGTGTCCCACATCGTGCGAACACTCCATGTATCTATGCTACGGGATGTGAATGGTGACGCCATGCGCAACCCTCCTCCTTTACCCAAGCTTGTGACCAGCAGTAGTTCTAGAAGAGTTTTCTTACCAATTAGCTACTCGTAATTGATATTCTTTTTATAAAACTACTGTAATCCAGATCTCTCAATGTCATGGTAGTAGTACGTCTATCTATTAGATCACTTCACCTCAGAAAATAAGAGCTTTCTAGTAAATCCTAGTCTTA